GGCCAGTTTTGTCACACAGTAACTGTTCATAACCATGGCCATTGGCGATCAGGATCCCTGCCTTCCTGTTATTTCCACATGTATCCCTCTGTCTCTACGCCCATTGCCACATCCAGCAACAGAGATCAAAGATTACAGGAGAGGCAAGAACAGGGGCCTCAGTTCTTGAGTCCAGGGGGAGGTGGGGGAAGAGGCCCTGGACTCCTGGGCTTGGGGGCCCTAAATTTCTGGGACCCAGAGGGTCAGGGAGCCAGGATGCCAAGGTCCCCAAGCCAGGCTCTGCCTCCAGGGGTATTCACTTACCTGCCCAGGCTTGTGAGCACTGTTCCCTCCTCCTTAATCGGGGCCTCCTAAGCCAGCTGCGGCCAGCTGTGAAGAGGGGCAGGAGAGAAGGGAGGGAAGAAAAAGAAGGGGTTCCCCGGCTCCCGGTTCTCTGTAATCCTCCCTGATGATCGCGGCTTCTGGCAGAGGGGCGGGGTTTGCGACTACCTGCCCTGGGCGGGACTCAGGTAAGGGACAAAATATTTAAAGGGACCTTATGATGAAGGGCCTAAGGTCCAGGACCCTACAGGAAGGCTAGGGTCTAAGACACCCTGGGGGCACGTAGGGAACTGGATAGGCGCCTCCTCCGCTCCTCCCGCTTCCCGCACAGCGGGAGTGCGCCCAGCCAAGTCAGGGAAACAAACGTCTAGGTCTCCAGATATCAGATATCTACGCATCTAGAAGCTGGCAGGAACGGTATGCCTTGGCCCCTAGGGGTGGGTGGGTATGCCGTCATTACATTCCTGTTTCCTGGGGCGATTTGAACGGCTCAGACTTGCGATTTCTCTATAGCTCCATTTTTAAATGGGGACAGAGAAGTTGTCCCCTCTTAATAGTCTCTTTACTTACAACAAGAAAAGTGGATGATATACTTAAGGAAGTGGGTTCCCAATGCCTGGGGGAAGTGCTTAGTCCTTAAACTCGGGCTTGGAGAGACGCGAGGCTGTGGGTTACAAGCAAGGAAATCGCCTGGCCCGGGAGATGCCTAGCAGATACTAAGCGCACCCCATATTCAAGCCAGCTTCCCTAAACGGAACCTTCGACTGTCTCTCACGTTTCCGGTGGGAGGAAGAGACGAAGGGAGGACTTACCGAGCCAGGCGAGGTACCTCCGCGACTAGGGGCAGCTTTATATCCGGTTTCCTTCGCCGCGCGGAAGTGGGTGGAGCTAAGAGGGAAAACAAGCGCTCTTTTCCGGGGTAGGGGCACGGTTGGAGCATCCACGAAGGAGCTAGGAGTCGTTTGTGAGGTGAGTTCCAGGAGGTGGAGGGATAGCGCTGCGGCCTCCTTCTCGCGGGCTGGAGTCCTAGAGTCCCGAGGAAGACCGGGACAGAATTTTTTTCTTTTTTTTTTTTAAATTTTATTTCATTGCTTACAGAATTTCGATAATACAATCGTCTCTCAGTGTCTAAGTTTCTCCTAATTTAGAGCAGTCTCCCCTCCACTCCACTCTGATTTTTTTCTTTGTGTAATTGATTCATTGAAGAAACTGGGTCCGTTATTCTGTTGATAATCCCGCCATCTGAATTTTGTCTTTTTGCTTCTTTGTAACCTCGTTTCACTTATTCCGTTATGCCAGGCGTCAGCAGGCCAAACTCAAATCCTGCTGGCCACCTTAAAAAACAAACAACAACCAACAGCCCTAACCGGTGTGGCTCAGTGGATAGAGCTTCGGCCTGCGGACTGAAGGGTCCCAGGTTCGATTCTGGTCAAGGGCGTGGGCCTTGGTTTCGGGCATATCCGCAGTAGGGGGTGTGCAGGAGGCAGCTGATCCATGTTTCTAACGCTATCCCTCTCCTTTCCTCTCTGTAAAAAAAAAAAAAAAAAAATCAATAAAATATATATATTTTTAAAAAAGCTTTATTGGCATACACTAGTAATTCACCTAACATATAGTGCACCCATTTAAAGTGTACAATTCAGTGCTTTTTGGTATATTCGCAGAGTTGTGCAACCGTCACCCTGATCAGTTTTAGAACATTTTCTCTTTTTTTCTTTAAATATATTTTATTGATTTTTTACAGAGAGGAAGGGAGAGGGATAGAGAGAAACATCAATGAGAGAGAAACATCGACCAGCTGCCTCCTGCACACCCCCTACTGGGGATGTGCCCGCAACAAAGGTGCATGCCCTTGACCGGAATCGAACCCGGGACCCTCCAGTCCACAGGCTGACGCTCTATCCACCGAGCCAAACCGGTTTCGGCAGTTTTAGGACATTTTCGTCATTGGCTGTCACTCCCCATTTTACACCCCTTCCCCAGCCCCAGGCAACCACAAATCTGCTTTCTCTCTGTATGGATGCACCTAATCTGGACATTGCATGTTTCTGTCCGGCTCCTTTCACTTAGCGCACTGTTGCCAGGGTTCCTCCGTTTTGTAGCCTGTATCAGCTTCTTTCTGGCCGAGTAATATTCCTTTGTGTGAGCTATACCATATTTTGCTTATGCATTTATCAATCTGTGGCCATTTGGGTTGTTTCCACCGTGGGGCTATTATGAAAAATGCTGCTATGAATCTTTGTGTACAGGGGTTTGATGTGGACATGTTTTCGTTTCCACTGGGGGTGGAATTGCTGAAGCAAATGTGACTGTGTTTAACCTTTTGAGGAACTGCCGGAGTTTTCCGAGGTGGCTGCTCCATTTTACGTCCCCACGCTCTGTGTGTGAGGGTTCCAGTGTCTCCACACTTGTTATTACCTGACTTTAAAAAAAAATAGTTTAATTAATTTCAGAGAGGAAAGGAGAGGGAGAGAGAGGTAGAAACATCAATGATGAGAGAGAATCATTGATTGGCTGCCTCCTGCACGCCTCCTACTGGGGATTGAGTCCACATCCCGGACATGTGCCCTTGAGCGGAATTGAACCCGGGACCCTTCAGTCCACAGGCTGATGCTCTATCCACTGAGCCAAACCGGCCAGGGCTATTATCTGACTATTTATTTTAGTCATTCTAAGTCAGTCTGAACTGGTATTTTAATGTGGTTCCAGTTGCATTTTCTCAAGAGATTAATGATGTGCAGCATTTTTTTCCCATGTGCTTCTTGGCCATTTGTATGTCTTCTTTAGAGGAAAGTCTATTCCAGTCCTTTGCTTATGTTTGAATTGGGTTGTCTTTTTATTATCGAGTTGTCAATTTTAATGTCCTTTATACACAATTGTCTTTTATTAGAGCGATGCTTTGCAACCACCACCTGTTTTTATGCAGCCTAAGAATGGTTTTAATGTTTTAAATTATTAGAAAAAAAATCAAAAGAAGACTCATATTTTGTGACCTGTGAGAATTAGGCAGTGTGCACAAATAAAGTTTTATCCGGACACAGCCGTGCCCAATCATTCACATAGTGTCCACGGCCGCTTTTGCCGTACAAAGGCCAGTCAAACAGTTGTGGCCGGGGCCCCGTGGCCCACAGAGTTGAAAATCTTTCCTAGCAGACTCTTTTTTCTTTTTTCAGTTCTCACCTGAGGACATGCTTAGAGAGAGAGAGAGAAACATCGATCGAGTGCCTTCCACACGTGCCCCGACTGGGGATCGAACCTGTGATGCAGGTTTGTGCCCTGACCAGAAATCAAACCGGCAACCTCTCCGTGCACAGGGTGACGCTCAGCCAGCTGAGCACTGTGGCCGGGCCGGGCCCTATCTGGCTCTTTTCGGTCAACAATCCTCTGACTTCCTAGGATCAGGAGGTTAAATCTAAGCGCTTGATTAAAATTGAGGTTCTGCCATTTTTGACACAAGTACTTGGAGTTGGTAGCTTCATGTTGCGTAATGCCTCGTTGTCCCACTTTGGGGACGGTGAGGTTGTCGGGGGGCCCCAGGTGGTGTTTATGTTTACCCCTTTCCCCCCAAGTTCCTGTGTTGAAGTCCAGCCCCCCGGCATAATTATTTGGAGATAGGGAGGTAGGTAAAGTTATATAAGGTCGTTAAGAGTGGAGTCCTGCCCGGACGGGTTTGGCTCAGTGGATAGAGCGTCAGCCTGTGGACTGAAGGGTCCCAGGTTCGATTCCGGTCAAGGGCATGTACCTTGGTTGCGGGCACATCCCCGGTAGGAGATGTGCAGGAGGCAGCTGATGGATGTTCTCTCTCATCGATGTTTCTAACTCTCTATCCCTCTCCCTTCCTCTCTGTAAAAAATCAATAAAATATATTTTTTTAAAAAAATAGTAGGGTCCTACCCTGGCCGGGTGGCTCAGTTGGTTGGAGCAGCCTCCTGTGCACCAAAAGTTTTGGGGTTTGATTCCCTGCGAGGGCACATACTTAGATTGTGGGTTCCATCCCCGGTTGGGGCACATACGCACGGCAATCTCTCACAGAGAGATCGATGTTTCTCTCTCTCTCCTTTCCTCTCTCTAGAAATCAATAAGAATCTATCCTTGGGTGAGGATTTTTTTTAAAAAGGTGGGGTCCTGACCCATAGGGTTGGCTCCTTATAAGGGAAGGAGATGCCAGAACAGGGAGAAAATTAACGAGTGCTGTCGAGGCACCCAGTCTCTGGTATTTTGTCTTGGCAGCCGTCGCCCACTGATACAGATAGGAACAGCGCGAGCCTCATTGTAAAGCTCCAGTTCCCTCCTCTCCCCGAGCAAGGAGTAGCGCCCCGAGAATATCCAGTTCCCATCTGGTTTTCGGTCAACAGTCATGGCCCGAATCAACTATGTCATCAGAGGTTGCAAAACAACGGTTTTCCAGTTCTCTCATTCTGCCTACATCTTTTATCCGAGTAGTCTGTTTTTGGTCTTCTATGTTTATTTGTTTTAAATATATTTTTATTGATTTCAGAGAGGAGCGGAGAGGGAGAGAGAGATAGAAACATCAGTGATGAGAGAGAATCACTGATCAGCTGCCTCCTGCACGCCCCCTACTGGGGATCGAGCCCGCAACCCAGGCATGTGCCCTTGGCCGGAATCGAACCTGGGACCCTTCAGTCCGCAGGCGGATGCTCTGTCCACTGAGCCAAGCCGGCTCAGGCTGGTTTTGGTCTTGAGCCACGTCCAAGAAGCTGTTGAAGGGAGTGACTTAATCACAGTTCCATTCTGAAAAGCTCACTGGCTGGTCTGTCAAGGAACAGAGCGAGGAAGAAATCAGTGAATCCTCCTGGGCATCAGTTATCTTTTTTTTTTTTTAATATATAGGTTTTTATTGATTTCAGAGAGGAAGGGAGAGGGGGTGGGGGAGAGAGAGAAACACCAATGACGAGAGAGAATCATTGATCGGCTGCCTCCTGCACACCCCCCCACTGGGGATCGAGCCAGCAACTCGGGCATGTGCCCTTGACCAGAATCGAACCCGGGACCCTTCCGTCCGCAGGCCGACACTCTATCCACTGAGCCAAAAGAGCTAGGGCTGCGAAACTTTTAAGTATGTTTGGAACAACTGGGGTAGTGAGTGTATGCTTGCACCGATACATTTTATGAGACCTGTTTAAGAACAATATCTGCAATGCAAATGTAGTGTCTGACTGAAGATGTGTTGAATGAGTGAAGTATATTCTGGATTTTGAAGACAAAACCAGGAATTCTCAGGCTGTGACCTCTCTGGGGGGGCCGACAGCTGTCACATGGTTAGGAGTGCCGCTCCAGAGCTGGGCTGCCTGGGTTCGAATCCCGGCTCTGCACCTCCCAGCTGGGGGTTGATTCTGTGAACTTGCTTGCTCCCTGTAAAGTGACAATGATGAGAAAGAGTAGCTGGTGTGCCCTGGCCAGTTTGGCTCAGTGGTTGGAGCATCGGCCTGAGGACCGAAGGGCTGCAGGTTCGATTCCCAGTCAAGGGCACGTGTCTCGGTTGCGGGTTCGATCCCGTGTGAGAGGCAGCTGAACTCTCTCTCTCTCTCTCTCTCTCTCTCTGTCTCTCCCTCCCTCCCTCCCACTCTCTAAAAAAAAAATCAATGCAAAAAATAACCTCTGGTGAGGATTTAAAAAAAAAAAATAGCTGGTGTTACTTTGACGTGCGTCCGAGATACTAGCGGCAGCAGATGGCACTCGTCCCGTTTTCTATTTAGAAACTGGCCTCAGAGGAGACAGTGTCGCCCGGTGGCAGAAAGCTTGGCTTCCTGAGTTTCAGAACCCTGGCACTGCCACCTGCCAACCCTGCGACCCCTGGCCAGCGGTTCTCAAACTTTTTGGTCTCAGGATCTTACAAATCACTGAGGACTCCCACGAGCCTCCGTTGGCGTGAGTTCTGTCTGTGCAGACGTGCCCTCGCCCCCTCGCCGGGGCCCTGGCCGGGCGGCTCAGTGGGTTAGAGCTTCGTCCCAGTCCACCAAGGTTGCGGGTCCGATCCAGGAATCAGTAAGTGGAACAACAAGTCCATGTTTCTCTCTCTCTATATATAAAATCAATCTATTAAAAACTCACTTAAAAGTAAATAAAAAGAGCCCTGGCTGGGAGGCTCAGTTGGTTGGAGCATCATCTCTTACGCCAAAAGGTTGAGGGTTCCATTCTTGCTCAGGGCACATGCCTAGGTTGCAGGTTCGATCCCCGGCTGGGGCATTGGATGAGAGGCAACCGACTGATGTTTCTCCCCCCCCTTCTCTCTCTAAAAATCAATATAAATGTATCCCCAGGTGAGGATTAAAAAAAAAAAAGACTTGCCCTATGAGAAATTAAAACAGACATAAAATTTTTATTATATAATTAACATAACACTCATCCATTTACTAGAAAAGTATACCATTCAGTGGTTTTTAATACAGACACTATTTTGTGCCACCATCCCCGCTTCCAGAACGTTTTCATCACCCCCAAAATAAGCC